GGTGCATAAATTTGAATGATAATTGTATTAACTGGTCTTCCTTGCTGGTGGATGGATATTATCCTACAACTGACAGCATTGTACTTCACGATAGATCTTGAAACAAGTGGAGTTAGATATAGGATTTCTGAAGAAAAGAGTAATTAGGCTTTATGAAAGAAGATTATTTATCTTGATTAAAATTAAAGAACCATGAGAAGTAGCAAAAGAAGTGGTAGTATAATGAACAAGGTTTGTGGGTGATGTAGTTGGATAGGTTACAGGGGAACATTTGATTAGGAGGGGCTTGTAACAAGTTGAGGGTTCTGAGCTTGTTCCCATAGACTATGAGTAGTTACTTTGGTTTTTAGCACTAAAGTGGAGTTTTAAGAAGTTTCAGCCAGCCTTGTTGTTGTTGTTGTCATGTGCTGTCGTGCCGTCGAGTCAGACCCGACTCATAGCAACCCCTCCTTGGGTTTCCGAAGCAGTATCACTAAGGAAGAAGAGTGCCCCATCTTCCTTCCAAGGAGTGGCTGGTGGGTTTGAACCGCCAGCCTTTTGGTTAGCAGTCAAGTGCCTTAGGCACTATGCTACCAGAGCTTTAGTTACAGGAAATACTAGAATGGGAGAGGTATAGGTAGGGAGATCAACTAAAAGTTCATTGCTACAGGAATCCAGATGTGAAAATGGGAATGGTGGTTAACATGGGAATGGAGAAGACAGGTTGAATCTAAGACACTGAGGAGAAAAGAGCCAGTAGGCTTGGTGACTATTTTGGATTGAATTGTGTTCCCCCAAAATATGTGTTACATCCTAACTCCTATACCAGTGGTTATAATTCTATTTGGTAATGGGTTTTCTTTGTTTTGTTAATAAGGCAGTATTAGTGTAGGGTGTGTTTTACATCAGTCTCCTTTGAGATATAAAAGAGCAGATTAAGCAAGAGAACAGAGATGGGGGGAGAGAGATGCCATGACACAGGAAGATCAATAAGGAGTCAAGAAACAGAAGCTGAAAAGAAACAAGGACTTTCCCCCACAGCCAACATAGAGAGAAAGACTTCCCCTAAAGCCAGCACCTTGAATTTGGACTTCTAGCCTCCTGAACTGTGAGAAAATAAATTTCTGTTTGTTAAAGCCACCCACTTGTGGTATTTCTGTTATAGCTGCAGCACTACAGTGATCAGGAGGATGTTTGTAAAGGGCTGAGTGTTTCATGGTTAGCACACATAGTCCATATCAAATCAATGGCCCTGGGATGTGGAGAAAGGGAGGAGTGGTGAAACTAAAGGTAAGGCTGATTAAATGGCTTCTCTGTGGCAATACATGCCTCTTCCCAGAAAAAGAAGGATGTTCTGAGAAATAATGTCTTTTCTACCTCAGCAGTTCATCTCGCCCTAATCATATCCCCTGATAGTCTTTTTGATTAAAGTTTGGGGTCATCTAATTCCTGAATATCATGATGTTTTCCCCTTCAACTGGCACATTCCCCTCATGTTGGAGCAGATGACAGTGTGATCAACACTTCTCTCTGTTGTCATCTGCCTTCTTACCAAACACCAGAGCCATGTGAGGCAACTGTGAGTGGTGGGTGATTCCTTCCTTATCAACTCCTATTAGAGCTCACCTTTGATGGTTCTCACATAGTGTACTTTACTGAATGGAATTCTATTCACTTAGAGTTTATGCCAGACTGGCTTAAATGTTTCACTGTAAATTCTTAAATTATGTATTTGCCAAACTTTGTTGCAAGACTTGTTCCCCTCCCCAACTCCTGAACTTCCCACAAGATACACATGAGTCAACAAGATCTTCACCAAGAAGCATTATATTCCTTTTGCCCTCCAGTATCTGTAAAAGGAAGTCTGAAAGATTAAGCAGTAGGCTTAGAGTTGTTAATAATAAAACTGAATTTGTTTTGTTTTCTCCTTTAGGTTGTTTTTTGCTTGCTTGGGTGGTCTGCTCAGGAAATGGCCTTGTAGCTAAGTGGGTTTTTGAGGTTTTGTTGTTTCATGATGTTTCTATAACTTTTGGTTTTACAATGGAACAGGCACCTAAGAATTGCTATTTGCTTTTAAAAAAGAGTGGCAGTTCTGCCAAGACTCTATTTTCAGATCCTTAAAGCTGGGGTAAAAGATCTATGGATGACATCTAAGCAATTTTTTCTTTATTTCATATCTATCTCCATCTCCTCCCACCCTAAAAAACAGACTAATAAAGTTGAGATTGTTTTGAAATACAGACTTAAGGAAAACAGATTAAAATTTTATTTTTTATGAGGCATCTTTCATTAATAAAGTTCTGGTTTTTGACAGAAGTGAGGCTATTCTAGAGGGACAGAGAAATTATGAAACCAGGTATCACTTACTTGTTCAAAAACAGAATCATTTCTGAAG